AATTATATTTTTATTTTGTGTAGTTAGTTTAATCTTAATAATTTTTAGTTGAATGGTCTAAGGGCTACGATGGCTATCCAAGTACAGAGCCAGAGTACAAAACTAATCCAACTGTAGAGATGTGTAAGACAGGGTAACGTAACATCCCTGAAATACTTTACCGCTGCATTGTAAAACGTTTTCAAGCTACTGGACTTGAAAGGATACGGTATGAATGTCAATGGCGTGTACATCACTCACCTTCGATTTGCCGACAATATAGTCCTTATGGCAGAATCGCTGGAGGACCTACGCACTATATTCAATGACCACAATAGTGTCTCCCAACGGATAGGTCTTAAGATGAACATGGACAAAACAAAAGTCATGTGTAATGTCCATGTCACACCTATGCCAGTGGTTTTTGGGAACACTTAGCTGAAGTTGTTGAAGAGTATATTTACTTGGGACATATAGTCCAACTAGGTAAGTTCAACTTCGACCGACAGGTCAAGCTACGGATTCAAATCGGCTGGACAGCGTTCGGGAGATTACAACACATCTTCTCGTCAGTCAGTGTCAGTGATGACGTATGGATCAGAGACGAGGTCTTTCACTGCTGGCCGTATGAGGAAGCTCGAAGTCGCTCAGCGAGCTATATATGCTCAGGGGGTTCAAACTTAGGAATGAGGATATCTGCAGCAGAACCAGAGTGACCGACATCGCCCAATGGATTAGTAAGCTGAAGTGGCAATTGATAGGCGATATAGCTCGAAGAACAGAATACCGATGGGGAAAAAAGGTTCTCGAGTGGCAGCCTCGTATCGGCAGGTAAAGTGTAGGACGTTCCCCCACTAGATGGAGTCAAAACCTGGTAAGCCATACAGGACGTTGATGGATGCAGGTGGCTCAGGACCGTGCATTGTGGCATTTCTTGGGGGAGGCCTATGTTCAGCAGTGGACTTGTGAAGGGCTTGAATGATGATGAATTATAATGGCATTACATTAATATGATACATAAAGAGAATGGACGTTACGGGTAGAGTCCATCTATACATAGAGTCTATTCTATTTAGGTATAGGTAGAGTATAGAATTTTATCGATATTATTTGATACTCTCTCATCCCTATTATTAGTTCCGTGGACGTCACTTCTGCTGTCAGCGCCAAAATGGCGGAAATCAAATCGCTTCATCTTGTCACGGTGTAATGCCAGTCCAGCGTACTTGTATATATAGAGGTTAGTGGGGGAAACGGTTTGGCTATTGGTATGCTACTTTTTACCGCGATGTATCATACTCATGGAAAGGACATGTTTACATGCATGGCACTATGATAGTAGTAGCACTATTATAGTATCGCTTGATGCTTGCGTCGCGTGACTAAATGACAGCAGACCGAACTTCACGCGGGCAAAGCATAGGATTGGAGTATAGAGGTAAGGAGGGCAATCTCCCATAGGGGAATAGTTGAAAATCAATGATTTCAAAAGGAAGGATAGGCCCATCTATGGTTCATAAAAGATAGCTTGATCTCTGCTACAGCTGTCAGTAAAAATCACCTGAAGTCCTGAATTTATTAGTACAGACAATACCTATCAATGTCATACTTTATGGGCATGCACTAATTAGGTCGGCATGCCCATAAAGTATGACATTGACAGGTACTGTCTGTACTACTAAGAAATTCAGGACTTCATAGGTGTGATTTTACTGACAGCTGTCGCAGAGATCAAAGCTATCTTTTATGAACTATAAATATTTTACTCATAACTTTTTCATACAAGAAAAAGTAGCGCATTTGTCATAATATAAACTTCATATTAAACACGACGTAACCAGGGTCGGATTTCGTATAGTATACATAATGTCGTAATAATATTAAGCGGAAATACCATAATTTTACCTAAAGGTCGACTTGTATTATTACTGGGTCCTTTTACATTTTAATATTAACCCTACGATATCGAGAATTTCTGTATTGTACATAAGTACCGCGTTTTTTTAATAAAATTAGAATTAGCTACATTTCTGGTCAATCGATATATTTATGTTGCATCCTTGATACAACTATAATTAGATTAGATGCTACCACGATGAAAACTCTATACTCCAGAAGCAATCGGTTTGAAAACAGAATTTCAAAATATTTTATGAATCAGATTTTCAGATTAAATTAAGCAGATATGGTTTCTTTTGTACTCTTTTCGTTTTACCCTTATTGAATATAAAATATATTAGGTACAAATATTCAAAATTTAACTTACACAAAGTTCTTTAGACAAAAATTAAACAGAAATAAAAATAAAACCGTCAAAAAATGAAACGTATAGATAAACTAGACGCGTGAACGCGTGACGCCAAACTTCCGGCACATGGGAAAAAACAAACATGAAACGTCAAACGTGATATAATTTTTGTTAAGATAAGTAAGTAAGTAACAGTTCAAAAACTCTCCACAACAGCGCTCGAGTAGCTACAGGGTATGGATAAATCGCCGTATAAAACGTTGAGAGTGGTTTTGAAAATAAACATTTTGAAAGTAATAAAATAATTATTGTAAAAAGAATTATGTTGAAAGTCTACGCAATAAAAATTATAAAAAGTTCTTTAAAATTTAGACTCTAGCTACCGTGGCGTACCCTTATTTAGCATTTTGCTACGCACACTTTTATACAGAGTCTGTAGTCCTTACCTCTACACTCCGTAAGAGGGTGGAAATTAGTTTTAGTATATTTTTGGTATAATCCAGCATGTTTTATTATTAGGAGACGAGTATACTATTACAACCTTGATGCTCCGATCAGCAAGAAAACTGGTGATCCAATTCCACAATTTCTCGAGAAGCCCATAGTAAGGAAGCTTCGTAAGAAGCGCTTTGTGTCAAACCCGATCGAAGGCCTTCGCTATGTCCAAACTAACGGCCAACGCCTCCCCTTTGGACTCTACTGCCTCCGCCCATTTAAACCCAATGAAACTAAAATGGATTCCATTATTCCCTTAGTAGTTCTATAGTTGACAGATCAAGCGTTACTTTATTTATTCATGCACCCGATCCCTAAAAAAAGTAACCGCTCGGCTTCCATGATTTCGGAACTACGCCTAGGAGTACCGGAAAAGACTCGTTAAAACCGGTGCCAACTCCGGAGCACACGTCTTCAGCACAATAGGAGGGACGCTATCAGGCCGACTTGAGTTGATGATGTCCAGGGAGATGAGTACATTACGCACCAAGCGTTGGATAAACAGCACGTCCTGCAGCACTCACACTGCGAGATGGTCGGCGGTGTGTTCCCCTCGTCATCAAGAGTCGAGTTGTACGCAAAGAGAGAACACAGCAGATCAGCTTTTTCCTTTGCGGCATGGGCCAGTGAGTCGTTCCCTCTGTGCAGAGATGGGATAGATGGCTGGCAGAAGTTCCCTTGGACAGTCTTGGTGAGAGACCAGAATGCACGTGTTCCCGAAGGAAGACGAACTAGTTTGTCGCCAATTCTGCAGATGTGCTCTGACTTTGCCTTGACAATGGCACTTTTGAAGGACCTGGAAGCAGAATTATACTTCTTTTTAAGAACGCTGGTATTTGCATCCCAAGACGTCGATGTGCGAGCCCAGGCCTGGTAGCACTCTTGCTTATGGGGTAATGCAATTTTGCAGGAGCGACCAAACTAAGGCTGGGTTATGCCTCCGATAGGTACCAGGTAACCAGTTGTGTCAGATCATATGCCAAAGCAAAGTCATAAACAGATCTATCCGCATGATCGGTTAAACAAGAACCAAGCCAACCTTTTTTCCATCTCTTTTACGTGGTAGAGCCATGCTGAAGCTATATTAATTGTATAGTTGTAGCACGAATGAGTCGGCTCGACCGGGAAAGGACTACGCTCTCACAGAAAACCATCGTCAAATAGCAGCTTAATGCTGCTGTGTTTCGTATGGTGAGTGAATGTAGAAGACTGGACTGTGTGCTCGCTTGTCACCCTTTTCCTATAAAAAAAATTCAGCGTGGTGGGTGTTAAATCACCAAGTATCACGATCTCTGCGGATGGGACCTGTTGTAGTACGTAGTCTGCAGCCATCTGGACGTGGTCGATCAGTCGGTCAGTGTCGGCATTACCGCTATGAGACCTATAGAGGCACCCGTAGACGCGGAGACGGTCGTCGCTGTCTACGCGCAGCCATAAGATGGACAGGTCCGTACCTTCAAGGCTGCCGAGGCGTCGAAAACAGATGTCCTCTCTGACGTACACGCAAACTCCAGCCCGGGGCACAAAGGAGTGTTCTATGTTTGGACCCCGGGTAAGAGACATATGAAGTATCAGCCGGAGAGGACACCTGTGTCTCGGTTTGAAAGAGCAAGGCCGGCTTCGCCGTTTCCAGATGGTAGTGGACGGCTTTAAGGTTTGAATGAAGTTCCCTGATGTTGCAGAAATTCTGGGATAGCGCGGCAGGGAGCCTTTGACTTATTGCTCCGTTTGCCCCCAGCAGGTTTAGTCCCAAGCGGAATTTCGCCCCCACCCCCCAAGAATACGAGGCAGCCTGAGCATAGGGGAGTTTGGGTGCTGCTGCTACCCTCCTGGGATAGTGTTAAGGGGGGGGGGATTGGGCCTCCGGCCACTTGTACTCGGCAGACGTAATGCAGCAAGCAAAGCTTCTACTTCACGCTGGTTTTCTGTGGTCGTGGTACCACCCCGGTTTGAGCCGGCCCTTACGTGCAACAGCATAGCCTGCCGCGTAGCTCTACCGCTGTTAAAATTATTACGTTACATGTGGTCTGGTATTATTTAGTACTGACAACATTGTGATTTTAGCTGACCACATTTTTTAAAACGGTCACACTGCTCATAAAAGCGCATTTATTTTACCTATTTACGATATTATAAACGTAAGTTACAATATGTACTGTTTATGATTAAAGATACTTTTTTTCTTCTATTTTTAATCGTTACTATAGTTTATTTGCGTTAAACAAAACTTACAGTTCTGTCTAATATTTCTAGGTTGGATATAAATAATAGTGACACAATGACCGATTCAGTAAATATGTCGTTAGGTAAGGAAATATTTATAAATTTAGCAACCTTCCACATTATAACAAAATAATAATGTTAATGTAATTACTATTACAATTTTATATCATATTGCTAGATGTTTTAATACTATTTGTAAATGCAGTGTTAATTTAATTTCAGATGATATAATAAAACAAAATCGTACGAATAAATCACGAGGAAGAGGTGGCGGAACAATACGAGGACGGGGTGGAGGTGGACGTGGAGCCCGCAGAGGTCGAGGTGGTGGTGCGGGACTTACACGTTCTGGAACTCCTGCAGCACGACAGGGTCGTTTCCGTTCTCGAGGACGGTCCCAATCTCGTAGCGGTTCACAGACCCGTGGGCGATCACAATCCCGAGGTCGTTCGCAGTCTAGAAACCGCTCCCGCTCGCGTCAACAAAGACGGTCTTCATCTCGTGCTAGGTCAGCATCGAGATCGAGATCAAGATCAAATCTAAGAGGTTTAACTCCTAAAGGCAGAGCAGGTCTTGATGATCAACAGACAGAAATGCCACAATTAGTACGAACCAACAACTTTAATAGAGGAAGAGGTAGAGGTGAGAAGTGATTATTTTTTTTAAAAATTAGCTCTTTTTATTTACAAATTTATTGGAATTTAATTTATTTCTTTTTAAGGTGGATTTCAAAACAGACTCCGCAGATCTAATTCAAATGTACAAATGGGAGTACACAGTCGATTGGGAATTGGTACTAATAGAGGAGCTGCTAATAATATCAATCGTCCTCTTGCAGTAGCTAAAAGAGGTATTGCAAAACGTGGACGTGGTTTTACTACGAGAAATAGATACAGTAATGTTGGATTAAGATCTGATCAAATAATTAAACAACAACGTCAGAATTTAATGTTAAACAATTCTGTTATAAAGTCTCAGACTTTTACTAGATCGAGGAACAATTCTTTCAACTCACCTTCTCAACTTACTGTAAGTGTTGCTAATGATTTTGCAAAGAGACGCAGGAACAGTGTAGGAAATTACTTGGATCAACAAAGCTTAGCTCAACTTAATAATCAATTTGGTGTTTACAACACTAGAAGAGGACCAGGCAGTGTTAAGTCACTAGGATCAAATAGATCTAATAGATCAAGTCGTTCTAACCAATCTAACACCAGTAATAGATCAAGTCGTAGCAGGGGTCGTGGACGCAGAGGAATCAATCGTGGAGTCGGACGCAAATTTGTTAATAAACAAATCCTCAATCCAAAACTGCAAAAGGAAATAGCAGCTATACAGGGTAAAAGTTTTGGTAGTAGCTCAAATCAAATTGAGGTCCCAAGTGGTGTCAATTTTACTCCAACACCTGCTGCTACTGGGCAAACCTTACATCAGAGGTTTGCTAGTGCTTAATTTAGAATAATTTCTATTTTCTTATAAGTTTAACTAAATAGCATTAAGAATAAAAATATTAGGACTGACCATATTTCATAATAGTACAGAAGAAATTTAAAATATCTAAAGGCCATTTCTATGCACTTTTAAGCATTTGTTTTGCTTGTGCTGATTATAAAATTAACAAGTTTATTCTTTTTGTAAAGGCTTCCTTAACGCTTTAACACACCTTTTATAATTAGCTCATTGTATGGTTCTAATAATATTCGTTACAGACTTCAAAAAGGAGGTATTCAATTTGTCTGTATGTTCTTTTTTTAATGTATTACCTCATAAAACTGGTGCTTCTTCTGTGGTCCCATATAAATTTAATCAAGATCTGACCAGTAGTTTTTGAGTTATCTTTAATAATGCGTTTTAAATTGACATTGAATACATTGATTTCGTCATATTGAAAATGGTTGTACAAATTTTCTTATTTTACCACGTGTTTTATTGTTCTCTACTCTGACTAAAAACTAAAGTCCAAAAAGAATGATTTTTTATGGTTTGTAAACATCATATTTTTTTATAAAATAGTAAAATAAAACATTGTCTGTACTGATGAAAACATCATTTTATTTTATATTTTTTAAATACAACAAATTAGTAACACCTTGGTAATATATACTATTAATATATTTCAACCGTAGAGATATGATTTTAGTCCTTTCACATTCTATACATTTTGGGCATCATTATAAGGGAATCTGTAACTAAAGAAATAAAAATCATGACATCAAAAATTTATAACTTTATAATTGTTGATTATTATCATTCATTAACCCAAAAGCTTGCTTTTTAGTGGAGAGAGAAAGAGTTACTTTAAGCATTTCTTAAACTGGCTTTGATTTTTATGAGTAGGGCAATGATTATTGCACATAATGAACATAGATAATTAACATACTTTCATATTATAGTTTTTCATAAGAAGTGGAATGAAACTTAAGTCATTTATCACATATTAAAGTGTATGAATGTGAATGAGATTCCCGCTCACCAGATGTTGCCAATGTTATTTAATTGATAAGTTAGTTTTAAACATTGAAGTAATATGTACTTACGTACTAGAACAGCTATCTCAAACAAAAAATGTGCGCTACTCTGTGTTCGCGCGGTTGTTTTTTTATCATAGAATAAACATAGGTAGAATGACCCGTAGGTAATAGCAGATTACATTGTTAAATAGGTAAATTATATCAAGAACAATATTTAAATTTTGTCATTTATTTTGTATATATATATTTGCTTATTTAAATACATAATATTATATCACAATTATATTTTAATGATATTTTTAATTAAATATTTTAAAAGGTATCTATGTCAAATATAAAAAACATACTAAATGTATGTTTAACAAAACTTATTAACATAACATTTAAACTACAAATATATTTATTTAAATTAGGATAAGAGTCATTCATAAATGCTGGGCATGTGAGAGTTAAAAATGGACGAATTTATTCCACTTTGACTTTGATGTTGAAACCTAAAAATAAAATAAAAGAATAATAAGCAGATTTAAACATGAAAAATGTTGCCTAATTATAATAACTTATATATGTCTCTACAAAAAAATGTGTATAATAATATAATCATCCTATACTTAAGTACCCACAGAAATGGCGCATCTGAACATATTAATTTCATAATCTATATTCCATGACTCGAGATGGCGTCTTAGGAATAATTTGTTTTATTATTAATCTATAATACTTTTTATTGATTAAATATCTTATTAACCGATGAAAAGTAATTCCTTGGTTTTTACTGACATTTCTTGAATTATATGTGCAATATCTAAGTACACACGACGGCATATTTTTATCAAGAGATTTTTTTAAATCCACACAACACATGATAACTGTGCAAGCGCCTAGCGAGTGACTGATTAAAGTGTGGTGTATGCACCGCAGTTGAGTGGAACAGAGTAGCTGAATGCAGTGTCGCCTCTAGTACGTAGTACATAATAGCTCAATGGTTTTAAATAAATGTTTATCAGTTTCTAAAGTATTATACACACAAACTTTTTTTAATTTTTCTATTATATGAATATCTGTGGTTTGGTTTATCTATTTTTAATCTAATTAATATAAAATATAACTAATAGTACAGAAAGAAACATTAAATATTACATTTATCGAAGAAATTAACTTCCCCCATATGAAATCTGTCAAGTATTACACACCTTATTTTTAAGTGATGCCACCCTGATGGCAGAAAAAGTTGTGTAGTAATTGATTGAATTTCAACCACCAATGATACTGGTATTAATAATGTAATTAAACCAGATATAAAATAATTATTATTTACTTCAAAATTTTTTCTTGTATTTTGTTAATTGTTGTCTTGGAATACAAACTCAATTCCTTAGATTAAGAACAACTGTTAAAATAATTTCAACTTACATGGAGTTTTAAAGAAATAACTGTTCACAAGCATTAGTCTAAAGTACATGAAAAATAGAGTGCAGATACTTACAGTTTTCTCCAAGTATATTACTTAAAATAAGCCCGTGAAAGGAATTTATTTCATCTTCAGTGTCTTTGATTGAGCTATTGCTTTCAAATGTCCATCCTAAGTGATGCCCACAGTGTGGACATGTGCATATCCTCCATGTATACCCCGGAAACCAAGAATCTGCACCTTGATTCTGGACAGAATGTAAGTAGTCAACAATTGATGCTTCCTGATAACCATCTCTAAAATGAAGTTTAAATTCTAAAGGCTCAGTATGAATAATAATCAGTCCACTGATGCTGGACAGGGGCATAGCAACAGTCTTCTGCCAGTGATGATGTCTGCAGTATTAATAGGTCAACTTGACTGGGAATGGACTAAACTTTTATAGAATACACTGTAAAGTAACAATATAATGCGATTCCTTTTCATTGGATTTTACAATTCCACAATACAAGAGATCCTAGTGTAAAGATATTTAAAAAATATCATTTGCTATTACCAAGCTATTCTGTTTTAATCCTTTATATCCTCTTATTATATATGCATTTTTATTCTTTATTGATATTAAATGTAGATGATCATTCAATACATTTCACAAACAAAAGTTGCACTTGAATAAATACTTTTAGATCTAAAACAATTTTTTTAGGATATGTCCTATACAATACAGTACAATATGTTGTGTAATCAAATTAATTCTGCACCTCACTGTAATGTACTGCCACACCCATATCTGCTCAGATCCCCGCATTTGAACAATCGGTCAGTATTGTATAGCCATTTATTGTAGCAGAGCTTTGATATGACATCATAAACACCAGGTTTGGAATTAACTCTATCAAGTTGTACATAATATTTATATAACCCATAGGAAAATTGAACTCAATTTAGCAGAAAAGGAATTAAGACTCATTTTTGCAGTCATCAGTAGAATCTGAAACCTTAAAAATTATTACAGCTAGTGACGTAATATAATTTACATAATTATGATAAAATAGTTAGACTAAGGATACAACAGGAGATTAAATACATTATTAATGTATGTTATTAAAATTGAACTTTTAATGTTTAAACTTAATTGTTTACCACTATATGTAATTATTAATTTGTGGTTATTCACTAAGTTTTTTATTAACATATCATGGTCAATTAGTAGGGAACATGACGCCAGTATGAGATGGTCTGCTTCTTCCTGATAACAACATGATAATAATAATAAAAATTTTCAAGTTGTCAACCTACTTAACAACTATTATATGAAGCAATCTATGGAGGACGCCTATGCCCAGCAGTTGACTTTCATAAGGCTGCAACCTAACCTGACCTTAAGAACATAAGAATTGTTGAAACCCCAATTTAAATAAAAACAAAACTATCAGCTTTTCTTTAATTGAAATAAAACTTATTTTTTAAACATTTCTTATCCCAAATCAATGGATTTAAAAAGTTGAATATTATATCATTATTTACATTTACACTGCTGCAAAAAATATGAAAAACAAATATATCAAATCTTTCATCACATAGAATAAAACAAGAACAATAACTTTGACAGATACTTAGGTCAATAGAAGTCATAAGATACACTGAGATAATTAGCTGTACATGTTACCAACAGGAGGCAATTGGGCACTTTTTTATTTTGCTGTCTCTATAGTAGATTGAAACATGTTTCATTAGAATGATACTGTCTATTTTATTCATGGACTACAATCAAATGGGAACTTACTGGACCTATATTTTGACATTTCGCTTTTTCTGTGGTAATTATGTCGAATTTGATGCCAAATGGATTAACTAACGTTTGCACTGTTATATTATGCTTTCCAAATAAGTTTTGTTTCTCGGTTTTTCGAGCTCCTGGGCTTTGTTTGGTAAATATATAATGAGAATCAGCGACGTCAGCACCACATTTACGACAAAGAAGTAACTCTAAAATAAAATAATGATTCAAATGCACACTATGAAATTCATGACTTAGTTCTGTAAATTATTTACTGATGCCCTTTGAAATAAGTACCTTGTCCATACTTGTCATCGGGACTATCACCAGTACAATAGGTATACGAAGAACATAACAGTATAATTAAACAGGCAATTAGAAACATTCCGTACCTACGATATAATGTAAATACACACTGTAACTATATTTAAGAAGCCCTAAAATGTATGCAAGTATTAACAAATAGCATTTTAATTGAATGAATATATAATAAAAAGTAAAATTATATTTAATATAACCATAATCAACGTACAACAGACTTTATTTAAATAAAATATGTAATAAAATTTTAAATAAATTATAAAATTGCGATTTCAATACTATGGTTCATAAAAGATAGCTTCATAGATTACTGACTATGTACTAGATTCCAGTTTATACAAAGGTAGGTACTCTGTGGTACTAGAGAGGTAGAGAGATCTGCGACAGCTGTCAGCATAGATTACCGACTATATGCTGTGCTGTCAGTAAAATCACGCCTATGGAGTCCTGAATTTCTTAGTAGTACAGA